ATAAATTTTTATGTATGTGTATACATATTCATGAATCTATTGAAATATACACAGTATTTATAGATTAGACATATATTTTTATGTATGTCAAACAATGCGGACATATATAGACAGGCCTGCTTAAAATTCTTTACATACATTTAAACAAATACACTAGGCAGTTGTTTACTGTAATGAAGAGAGTGCCTGACTCTCAATTAGGTTCCGTTTCTGTGTTTTAGTATTGTCATCTCAAAGGGAAGGAGTTAGTCTTGATGATCCCCAAGGTCCTTTTCAGCTAGCTCTAAAATCCTTTGAGTCAGTGACTATAATGCAATTTTTAGCCTAATTCCAATACTAAGTGTTTTGCCTTTTAGTTCAAAAGCAAAGAGGAATGTTGCTAATGAACTAATGCTTTCATGCTTCAGTCAGTGCCTGGAAAAGTTTATCATTGTAAAGTGTGACTGCAAATTTGTTCTTTGGTAAACTCTTCTGTGTTGGGACCACTTTCATTCCCTGGGTACTTCTAGAAGAGTTCAAAATCAGAACTTGAACCTTGTGGTGATCTTGATTTTTCTTCTTAATATACTGCTTTATGAAAAGCAATTTTTCTTTCCCTGGCTTTGGCTATCTTTGCACATAACAAGCACTCAATAAATATTTATTGAATTGAATTGAATTTGACCTTTTAGAAGGCATAGTCCTGGTGTAAGGTTATTCATTTTCGGCAGGAGTGGTCATAAATTAGAATTTAATACTAATCCACCTGATGAACTTCATGCTTAGCAGCATATGGTAGTTCAGCATTGTATGTTGCATGTTCCTCAGTGCAAATTTAGAAAACTGTGTGACCTGTAGGGGCCTGATGAATTGACTAGCCAATTTCAAATCTACTTGCACTGCTCACCCATGGATTTTCTGTTTCCCCATGGTTTTGAATGAGGGCATTGACTCTGCTCTTAACACACTGTGCACTCTGCTTCCTCTCAAGCCTTTGCACACCCTTTGCATGGATTATTCCTTTTACAAATTTCGGTATGCCTTTCTTAACGCTCCCATGTAGCACTTCATACATTCCTGTTTTGCATTGCTCAAATTCTCCTGCAATTCTTTTCTAGGCCACTAGTTCTTTTCACTACAAAACACACAGATCTATGATTTCTTTCTTTCTTTCTATATTCTCTAGCGCCTGAAACAATGCCTGACACAAAGGTTTGTAAAATTAAAAAAAATGAGTCCCAAAGTTTATGTAATTTGCAAATGGAATAAAATAAAAATGTAAATAAGTATAGCCAGGGATCATTGATTATATGTCTGGTACTAATTAAATTATGATATAGGTAGAAAGAAGATCAGTCTGAGATTCAGAAGATGCAGGCTCTTGTGTTGGATTAATGACTTCTTAATAGTCCCTTAATCTTTGTAGTTCTTAGTTGCTTTATCTGAAAATGAATGGTTTGGACAGGATCTTTACTATTAATAAGATCCCTTAGAGCAGAATTGCCTTGCTCCTAAATTAATTATAGAGAACTAGGTCTCTTCTGCCAGACTCCTTGAGGCAGGAAGTATCTTCTAATCATCTATAATTTCCTGGCACAAAGCTTAGTACCTGGTATATAGTAGTTATTCAAACAATATTACTGAATGAAACAATAAATTCCCAGAGAGAATTATGATTTAAATAAAGCATGAGAAAAAGATTAGGTAGATAATAGTTAATTAAAAATGTATAACATTTAAAAGAATCTATTGAAGAATAGTTATTTTCAATGTCTGAAAAAAGTACTTGGGAGAAATTTTTTATTTATCAATTGATATATTCAACAATAGAGGAAATGAATTTGCAATTGCCCAGTTCCCTAACTACAAGTTAATAATTTTTTAAATTGTAACATGTTGTACCAAGTTTTATGTGCTGAAATTTAACTGCTCCTGGAGGATGTTGGTAGAGATATTTTTAAAATTTGTATATACTTTTGATACTATTGTTTAGTCTTAGGAATTGAAAAGCTATATCTTATTTCAACTAGGATTTCTGAAATCATTTACATATTAGTGACTTACTAAGACTTTAGGGCAGTTTTTACATTTAAACTATGCCTATACCTTTGGGTTATTGATTTGAATATTAGTGTGGTTAAATCATGAAAACAGAGAAGTAATATAATCATACTGTTTATGTATTTCACATATACCTTATGTATATATATGGTATGTGGTATTCCAGAATTAACCAAGTGATCTGTATATCCATTTATTAGTTCTGTACTATATGCTAGACAGCTCTGTTTTGGGCACTGTATACAATGAGGAGGAAAATATGAAGATGCTCTCAGTGAATGTAATAAATGGTTGTCTTAAGTTGGGGGCTCATGCTTGATAGTTTGAAGAATATTTTTTTCTCCCCATAAAAATTATATGTTTTTTATTTTATAAAAGCAAGAGAGATAGTAAGTTTAAGAGTACTCTTTTCATTTGTTGTTTTCTTGAGTTTTTGAAAAATTTAATTAATTTTTAGATAGGAAGAGAGAGGGAGAGAGAAAGAGAAACATTGATGTCAGTATGGGACATCAATCTGTTGCTTCCTACCAGGGATCCAGCCCACAACCTAGACACGTGCTTTAACTGAGAATTGAATCAGCAACCTTTTGGTGCATGCCATGACATCCAACCAACTAAGTTACATTGGCCAGGGCTTCTTATTTTTTTGTTTGTGGTTCTTGAAAGTATTATTATTCAGCTGCTTTCTATTTGGCCCAGACATTTTTATGAGTATCCAGCAGTGGATGCAAGTTTTGCATGATCTGAAATTTGGAGGGGTCCTTTTAATTAAAAAAAAAAAATGCAAAAGTATAAATACAAAATTGGATATGAAGGTCAATTTTCTTTGAACAAAAAAGTTATAACAAGTCATACTTTAAAAGTATGAGAAATTCACAAACATCAGGGAATTTCCACTCTGTACATTTTATACTTTGATTCTCTTACATTATCCACTGGACACACTGAGATGACCCGATTTGACCTGGACCTTCCTGCTCCTATGCTGGGCTAGTCAGTATTGTGGGCACTTAAAGTATTTCTGAAGCCATTCTTTTATTACAACTGCTGGCAGTAATTTAATTCTAGAAGTGACTGTGCACTTCACATGTACCTTCCACTAAAGTTAAACTAAATGTATCTTCAGCCCAAATTCTAATTAGCCTGATTCCGTAAATGCCCATGTCTACTCCATTGCCAACCAACAGGATACATGTGATGGAAGGAAAGTCATATTAGAAAAAGATGGCAGTCTTAGCCAGTTATGTTTAAAATGTCTTGCTCTTGAAAAACTTACAAAATAATAATAATAATAATAATAATAATGAAGGCCTTAGAGCCAGGTGTATGAGGGAACCTCAAGTTTACTCTTCATTAGCTTTTCAGTAAATTGCCTGTATGCGTATATTTTGCAAGTTCACTCTATGTATGATCTTAAGCAATTCCCAATGATTTAATTAAATAACTGGATGGTTCCTTATACCCTATCACAAGAACATGTGAAAGTGAATGTACTCCCAGTGGTTGTGCAGCACCTGATGGAATGACTGAGTGGTTATACTGTAACACAGGTTTATAGGCATGGTTGATAATCTGGGGTGGTGGAAAAGGCTCGTTCTAACCTGACACCATTTACTACCTAATAACTCAGTTATTAAAATTGCACTTATGTTTTATTCTCCTTAGGGTTAGGAACAATATATAAAACATTAATTAAAATCTATAAAAGCATTTTACCTAGGAGTTCAATGTAGTAAAATAATATATAGATATGAAACATTAGTTACCAGAAGAGTCTCATTTCCTCATTTTTATTTTAAAAAGAGAATGTTAGTGGTATGCAATAATTAATACCCTGGAGTTCTATTAAGTCATGAACAATGAGACATTGTAGACGAGAAGTTGAAAACTTTAGGACTTGACAGTAAAGGTATGGTTGAAGTAAAACTGAGCAAAAAACCAAAAACCAAAAAACAAAACAAAAAAACCCAAAAACAACAAACAAACAAACACCACCCAGAGAAAACCTCATGTATATAAACAACATTATGGTGATTACCAGAGGGGAAGGGGGTTGGCAGGAGGTAGAACAGGGTAAAGGAGGAATAAATGGTGATAGAAAGAGACTTGACTTAGGGTGATGAACACACAATACAATATACAGCTGATGTTCTATAGCACATGTGTCAAACACAAGGCCGCGGGCCAAATCTGTCCCGCCAGGCCTTGCAATGTGGCCCGCACCGCGCTGTCATCACTGCACTCCGCTGCGTTTCCATCACAATGACAGTTTATGACTGTTCAGTAAACCATTCGGCCCGCGATTTAGGCTGGATTTTAGATTTTGGCCCCTTCTCTGATTGAGTTCGACACCCCTATTTTATAGAATTGTGCACCTGAAAACTATATACTGTAGGTCCTCGCGTTATGTCGGAGTAATGTGATTTTTCGCCATAAGCCAGAACCTATCTACATATGTGCTACATGTCACTCACATGGAGCACATATGCAGCAGTAATGAAGTGAAACTAAAAAAAATTTAAAAGAAAGATAACAATTCCTGACTTTTACTTGTGGTAAATTACGTCGAAATGGTGGAACATACATACATACATACATACATACATATATATATATATCTATCTATCTATATATATATATATATATATATATGGGATATGGTGACATAACCACAAAATGACTTAAGTCGAGTCCAATGTAACCTGAGGATGGCCTGTAATTTTATTAACCAATGTCACCTCAATAAATTAAATTAAAAAATAAAACTGAATAGGAGGAGAAGGAAATAGGTTTTAATTGTATTAAGAGATATTTGTCAACACTTTGTAGACTGGTGTTAATAATTTAAGGTCAAAATTCATACAATGGAAAATAAAGAAATAGTACATAGTTTACTAAGTATCTCTATAAAAAAAAGTGTGGTTCATATGAAATGTTTTATTTTTGTCTTTGTTTTTTAGGTCAGACTGTGCCAAAATCCCAAACTTCAGTTGAAAAATAGCCCACCATATATACTTGATATTTTACCTGATACATATCAGCATTTACGACTTATATTGAATAAATATGATGACAACCAGAAACTTGCCCAACTCAGTGAGAATGAATATTTTAAAATCTACATTGATAGTCTAATGAAAAAGTCGAAGCGGGCCATAAGACTCTTTAAAGAAGGCAAGGAGAGGATGTACGAGGAGCAGTCACAGGACAGGTAAGTCTATTTCGGGTTTTATTTCTTAGTGTTAAAGTCATTTATGTTGCGTTTTGTTTCACAGGTAGCATAAATGTCAAAATGTGTTTACTTTGGGGAAATGTCATTTCAATTGTGTCTTCACTTTTCACATTATCTAGATCTTGTAGTTTTACAAAAATTTGTGATAATAGCTAATTTGTGAGAGAGTGTTCTTATTTTTTTAAAATAGATATTATTATATATTTTAGATTTATAGAAAAATTACTTGGAAAGTACCCTCTCTCTTATATGCAGTTATTCCTATTATAAATATCTTGTATAGTGCGGTACATTTGTTACAGTTGATGAACCAATATTGATACAGAATTATTAATTAAAGTTCATAGTTTGTATTAACGTTCACTCTTTGTGTTGTATAGTTTTGTGGGTTTTGACAGATGTATAATGTTATGTAATTTTTAGCGCGGTATCATCTTAGAATAGTTTCACTGCTTATAAAATGCCCTTTGCTCCTCAGTATGGTTTAACCCTCTTATGAAGTCATATTGTTGAAAGTACGTAATAATGTAATGTTTTCAGACTGGCTTCCTTCACTTAACAATATGCATTTAAGGCTCCCCCATGTCTTCATAGCTTGGTAGCTCATTTATTTTTATCACTGAGTAATACTAATTACATGGGTAGACCACAGTTTGTTTATTCATTGACTTGTTGATGGACATCTTGGTTCCAGTTTTTGGCAATTATTGATAAAACTGCTGTAATTATTCATATGCAGATTTTTGTGTGGACATAAGCTTTCAGCTCTTTGAATAAATACCTAGGAGCATTATTGCTTGATCTTATGGTAAGCTTATGTTCAGCTTTGTAAGAAATTCCTAAACTGTCTTCCGAAGTGGCTGTAATGTTTTGCATTGCAACTGGTTTTCTATTGTTCCACATCCACCAGGATTTGATATAAGAAACACTGTCTTTAAGATGGAGTCTCGATTGAATGTGTGGGTGTTGTAGATGTGTGTGAGAGATGTAGTTTCCATTCTCATACTTGTCTATTAAGTGAGAAACTGGACTAGGGTGGAGGAGAGAGCAACTGACTCCTTATTTTGTGTCTATAATTTTTGAATTAGAGACCCCTCATTAAAGCTTCGTTGTTTGGCTAATTTAATGTTAAATTTTATGATCTACAGTACTTTAAACCAAGTAAAGAATATAACAAATCATTTGATTTCTAGGGTATTTTAAATATATTGGGAATATTCACTGGTAGTGCTACTTTACTTAGATTTCCAAACTGAAAAACAAAGACAGTATTAATTAAAATATATAATATTTTAACACAGTTCAGTTGAATTTCAGTTTAAGATAACCTCTGTGGAATTTATTTTCCTTTTATATATAGAAAAATCTCTTAAGAAACCTCTAATGTTTCTTTCAGGTTGGAAAAATTAGCCTAATGATACATATGATTGTATAGAGAAAATTAATTTACCTAGGTATGCAGACTCTGAATTTATCTATAAATCCAGAAAAAACAAATAGTCCAGAGAGAATAAAACCATCTAATTTAAACATAGGAAAACCCTCTCCCAAATGTAAAATGGCATAAAGATTTATTTACTCATAATTTGCTCTCTAAATTAGTGATGATCCCTAATATAATCATACTAGTCTAGCCAATTATATAACTGTAGATTCATCACAATATTCTTGGACCAGTTTATATATCTTGAATGTGGTAAATCTTCCAGTTGCCTTTTAGCTTAAAGCTCTTAAGACTGTTCTACAGGACTGCCCAAGGCAGTTTGGATTGCCAGAAGGAACCAAAAATAAGGTAGAGATGTATCCTAGTGATTATTTCTTCTTAGGCCTTTCAAGAATGGCCAAGATTGTGAGATGCTAGATGTTTGTTTAAAACTCTATTTTCAGCCGAAACCGGTTTGGCTCAGTGGTAGAGGGTCTGTCTGCGGACTGAAAGGTCCTGGGTTCGATTCCGGTCAAGGGTATATACCTTGGTTGCGGGCACATCCCTGGTGGGGTTTCTGGCTCTCTATCTCTCTCCCTTCCTCTCTGTAAAAAATCAATAAAATATATTTTTAAAACTCTATTTTCACTTCGTAGTTCTACCATTGATCTAATAAAACTAAGTTTTTCTAGAAATATCTTTACAGTTCTTAGTAGCCCTGAATTCCCAGATTTAGTAGCCCTGAAATTCCTCCTGGTCTCTTAAAATTTACATTTTAGGATATTAGGACAGTGAGAAGGTGTGTAACTTCTAGATCAGGAATTTAAGTTGATACAGTGTTTTAATTGGTTGTAGTAATTTGTAATATGGTAAACTTGTATCCCACTTTTTACATCTTTTATAGTAACTTGAAACATTTGCTAACTCATTAGTTATAACAACTATTTCATTTATAAATTTTTATATTTGTGACTTTTTGTGTAGGAGCATATCATAGGGACTCTATAAATTTTGATTGATTGTAGATTTTTATAGATGATGATAGATTGCATAATGCTGATGATTACATTGATATTATTTAAATTCTGTGTTTTAAGTGTCTAAATTTTTTCACTCTCCTAAATTCAACCTTAAGATAAAGTTTATTAGTATTTGTGCTTGTCTAGCATTCCTAGTTAGATTTCATTGTCATCCATGTTACATATTCTGATAGTATTCTGTGGCCAGCTGTGTTTATACAAAATTTACATTTGATAAATATCTTGGTCTATTGTAACAAGGACATAGATTTTTGACTTATTTTTTTTTATTTGGTAGTATGTTTTTACTCTCAATTCTAGATTCCCTTACGATTCCATGGAAACTGAGGCTGAAATGTGCCATTGTATATAGGAGCTCTTGGGCATTTTGTTCTATAGACTATATAAGAAACAGTAAAAAATGATTATCATTGTTAGGCAGTAGAGTATTCTATTTAGTAGACTGGCTGTTACATGTATGATACACTAATTATTGGGGATATTATAAATTCCCTAAAATATATTTATATTTTTAATTCTACAAATGATGTCACTAAGTACATTAGTATTATTAGGTTAAAAATGTAGGACAGTTATAGTAGAAATATTAACTTGGAGTTCATTGTCTAAATCAGTATTTTCTCTAGTGATTTAGTACTTTATTGAAGAAAATTATGCTAGATGAGTATATGAATCAAAATGTTTATTTTATAATAACGTTCCTATTGTATTAAAAATAGACTCTGTGGATGCTTTAAATGTAAGGGCAAATGGGTAAAATTCATGTATCAATTTTGAACTATTTTTGCTTTAACTGATTGTGAAAATATGAGTAGTCTGAATTTTTAAAGTAACAACATATATGTGATAAAACTACAAACAAATAGAAAGATAAATATAGTAAATGCCACAAAATGTATTTCCTGTATAGAAGGCAAGAGGTATAAAGTATAGATATATTTATTTACTACTGAAATAGGTCCTAAGGCACATAGTGCAAGCTTCTTGCTTTGAGAATAGGTGGAATAGTGACTTCTTTAGAGGCAGGCTGCATGCTTTGCTCGACTTTTACAGTAATCTCTTCTTTCCCTAGTATCACTTTTCATCCATGGTTTTTTCTTTTTTCTACTTGTAATCGAACCTCTCCCTGAGCTCGTGCTTCTTTCTCTAGCTGAGCATCTAAACCATTCTGAGCTGGTATTTTTTGGAAGAGTAATTCAGTGTTTTTTGGCACACATAATGTTTTTGTGCATATGTGTCGAATGGAGGTTAAGGATCTTGTGGAGAAGGGGCAATTTATAGTTTGAAGTACAGAGAAGAAAACAAACATCTTATCGCTTAAAGTGTTAGTGGCAAAAGCAAATGGGTATGAAGATAGTGATCACTGACAAATGTAAACACTGATAGAATGCCTTTCTTTGGTGACTTGGCAGTTTCTTCAGATGACCATTTTAATAATAAAATGTACTTTTTCATATAAAAAGTTATGTATTAATCACAGACTCTGCAAGGCCTGATGTTGGGCACTGTTTTTAAGAACACCCAGAGGTGATGGCCTAATATTCAGATCAGGATATTCAGATTTTCCATATTTTAGAACTGTTTCAGTGAATCAGAGTGCTACAATCCATTGTTTCCCTCTCACACTCTGGTTTACAACCACTGAAACAAAACCAAAAGTTGACTGAGGTGTTAAATAGCTCTGTGTTTGATAACCTATCTGTAAAGAAAATAAAGGCTTTTAAAATATTTGTGCCAGAGAGACACACAGAGATGTTGTGTTATTTTTTATGTCATTTCAAAGCCCTGGACCTTTTCTTGTGCACATGTATTGTAGAAACAAATCATAATTTGTATAGTTGGTATAATTATATTCACTCCAATTAAGATTTTTTTTACAAGTATTTTGACATCAAAAAATTAGTTCTAGAAAATGATAGCCTTATTAAAATCTTTCAGGAAAAAAATATTTTCTCCACTGACCATTTGGCTGAAGAAAGGAAAATGTATAACCTGTTACATTAATAAAATGCCTTTCCTGCTAAAGGACTGCAGATCACTTGGCTTGCTGTTTATATCTGTGTTGTGTTTATGAATTAGTGTACCAAAAACATTGTGGAAGTGACATATAAAAGATACATGGTTCAGTTAAAAGTTGAATTAAAAACATTAGTTACCACAATAATAATAATAAAAGTGACAACAACACACGAAACTGCAAACAAGCCTACTTTCTTTCCTCATACCACTGTATGACAACATTGCTTTGGCCAAAGAATAATGTTGCATTAATTTAAATATTTATGTTTGTATAAACACAAAACATGCTGGTTACATAGTCATCAAAATAGTTCAGAAATTCCTCATGGGTTTTCAGTTTAACTACCTAAAGAGATTGACCTGTTTGCACAACGTGGACTTTATGTAATAGTTTTACTACTGGACCTCACAGGTTAATGGCCTTGTTTGTAGTGTCACGTAGTTCCACATTTTCTCCAAGGCAGCTCTGTGCATAGGAGCAGGAAGTGAGGAAAGAGTGCTGATGAACTGAGTACAGCAATCTCACGGTCTGAGGCCATTTCTGCCCCAAGTGTCTTTGTGACCTTTGTTGGTTTCCTGACTCCAGTCTGTTTTTTCAGCTTTTAAATTGTTTTCTGGATATTCACCATATTTTTTGGCTCAGATATTTCATTCAACGTCATAAAAGGAAGTTGTAGTTTGTTTCAGATGAATGCTGCTGTTGCTACATCAGTTTATAGTTTTTCAAATTCAGTAAGTTTATGGTAAAAATATTGTTTTTGTTATCACAATAATTACTTGCAGGAGAATTAATTTTAGGATTATGTCTTTCTTTTTAAATAATTTGTGCACTAGTGAATGATATTTATTCTATGAAATATAATTTATTATACAGGAAAGGGAATGACATATTCTTTTTAAAAATAATTTTACACTTTAAAAATTAACCTAGTTTATTTCTCTTTTTAAATTTACAAATGGTGAAAATTGCAGTTCTTTTGCATTTCATGGGATAAGAAAAAAATGATTTTTTAATAAATCAAAATAGGTTATTGATGCTTTTTTGAACACAAATATTTTAATTTAAACATACATAGTTACTATTTAACTTTTTTCTATATGTGTTTGTATCCTAGGCATTTTTTTTTCTATTTTAGCAAAAGATTAGAGGAATGAAAATATTACTTTTTAATATTTTAAAATTACAATCTATAACTTGGATTCAGAGGACAAATACTAGTCAGTCCTTTTAAGAGCAAGTGTGTCTGCCAGGTAGGAAATAGGATTTTCTTTAGAAAACGTGACTACCTTCTTGACATTGATTTATCATAAATGAGTAAAAAGTTTATTAAGTTTTGATAAGAATGCCTTTATTCATATTTCAGAATCTGGGAAATGTGAATATACTTTTCTAAAGTTTGGAAATGAAGGAGCTTATTTCTTTAACACACTGTGAAAGTAGAGACTACAAAAAAGTTATTTAGACAAATGTCAAATTAAACAAAGGGGGTCTGTGAGAGTGGAGAGGTGAGAACTTGCAGAATCTGACTGTTAAAGACTTCATGGCTAAATATCCATGCTTCTTTGCTAACCAGATACAAAGTAATTTTCTTGTTGATTTTCATGTAAGTAAAAAGTGAAAGGGGTTTCATCAGCAGTTTCCTTTTTGGGGTACAATTTCAAAATACAAAAGCATACAAGTTATTAGGTATAACTTTAAACTAAATTCATAGTTTTTAAATAAAATGTTTACATTTAATCCATTTATTTGCTATTTATTTTATATACTTTTTTTTCAGTACTGTATTAATACCACCCCCCAACTCCTGGTTTATTAGCTGTGAAAATTTTTATTGCAATGCATTTAATTTCCTTCCAAGTCAAATTATATATTATACACACATTATATTTTGATATTAAAATTGGAGATTTTTTTTCTTGCAGCATAGAGTTCATCAAATGTTTATAAATTCCTGAGAGTGGTAACTATTGTATTACTGTAAGCCAACTCACAAGACTCAAGTGAACTTGGCTTTATGGTGGAATACCTTTTATGTTTTCAGTCTTAAGGCAGCTTATTAAAATTGATGTTTTCCTTTCACTAAATATCTGGTGACATTTAAATTTGATAATTAAAATCCAGAAGCACTTAAGAAAGAATGCCTGTTTTTAGTTTCATAATAATAATACTCCCACAGAGAAGGTTGATGACTGATGTCTTTCAAGTGGCTGATTTGTTATTTAGTTAAAGAAAGCTCCTTTGGCAGTTTCTTACAAAACTAAATTAAAGTATGTTTATAAAACAGACAAGCTGCAGTGATAATCCTATAGCCCTGAGGAATGCTTGGAAATCTAGCCCTAGAAGCATCTTTGTGTGTGTGTGTGTGTGTGTGTGTGTGTGTGTGTTTCAGTGATTTAAGGAAGAAGTGAAGTTGCCAGAAATCCAAATAGATTAGCATCAAGCACTAACTAAGCAGGTCATAAAAATTTAGTCCTGTCCTGTTTTGCTATACAGTGCTTCAGGAATACTAATTTTTCTAAGCCTGTGTTTAATATTAATCTTTGGTATCTTTAAATTCATAGTTAAAACTTAAGTTCTTGTTTTACTTTGCATTTAAACACATATAGTTTTCAAGTTTCACATGTGAAGTCATTTAATAAATGTCATCTAATAAAAGAGTAATATTTAAATTGACCATCACTCCAACACACAAAATGGCTGTCCCCATGTGGTCAAAGATGGCTGCCCCCATGTGGACACAAGATGGCCACCACAAGATGGCCAGCAGGGAGGGCAGTTGGGAGGGACAAGGCCTGCAAGGGAGGGCAGTTGTGCATGATCAGGCCAGCAGGGGAGGGGAGTTAGGGGTGACCAAGTTGTCAGAGGAGGGAAGTTGGAGGCAACCAGGCCTTCAGGAAAGGACAGTTGGGAGGGATTTAGGCCTGCAGGGGAGAATAATTGAGGGGGGAACCAGGCCTGCAGGGGAGGGAAGTTAGGGGCAAACAGGCTGGCAGGGGAGCAGTTAGGCATCAATCAGGCTGGCAAGGAAGTGGTTAGGGGGTGATCAGGCTGGCAGGCAGAAGTTGTTAGGGGCAATTAGGAAGGCAGGCAGGCAAGCAGTTGGGAGCCAGCAGTCCTGGATTGTGAGAGGGATGCCCAACTGCCCGTTTAGCTCTGATCCTAAATGGGCAGTCAGAAATCCCTCTAAGGGTCCCAGATTGGAGAGAGTGCAGGCTGGGCTTGGGGACACTCCCTCTCCCGCCAATTCACGAATTTCGTGCACCAGGCCTCTAGTCCTATATAATAGGCTAATATGCAAATCGATTGAACAGCTGAATGACTGGTCACTATGATGCACACTGGACACTCAATGAAAGAGCTGCCCCCTGGTGGTCAGTGTGTTCCCACAGGGGGAGCACTACTCAGCCAAAAGCCTCTTCTGCCTCTTTGGCAGTACTAAGGACCCCTCGGGGGATGTCCGCCTGCTGGCTTAGGCCCAGCTTAGCAGGGAACAGGCCTAAGCCTTCCCCTAGGGCTCCCACATTGCATGAGGGTGCAGGCCAGGCTGAGGCAAATCTCCTCCCCCTCAATCCCCAGTGCATGAATGTCATGCTCTGGGCCTCTAGTTCATAATAAAGAGATTGAGATTGCCTGTGTTCTTTGGTTGGACCATTGAAGAACAAAAGGTGCTTCCAAGACTGTTTCCACTTCTGGTGGCCCCGGGCATCCCATGGCTTGTGGCAGGATAACTTCACAGTTTCTGTCATCATGTGGTGTTCTGCTCTCTGCGTGTGTCCAAGTTTCTCTCTTCTTGTGCTCGATTCAGCAGCACATATACTGAAATTGGAACGATACAAAGAAGATTAGCATGGCCCCTGTGCGAAGATGACATGCAAATTCGTGAAGCATTCCATATTAAAAACAAACAAACAAAACAAAAACAAATTTCTCTCTGCTTACAAGAATACCAGTTATATTGGATCAGGCCTAGAATTATGACCCTATCTTAACTTTACTATGTCTACTAAGACTTTATTTCCAAATAAGATCACATTCATAGGTAGGGTGGAGGTTAGGATTTAAAAAAATCTTTTTAAAAGACAAAATTCACTCTTTAAGTGACCAAATATGGTAGTGAAAAATGTATACTGAGGAGGGAGAGTCAATTGAAACTTGAGTGTATGTCACGATAGTATGAAAACTTCGTTTGGTAGAAGATAATGCCAAACAAATTGTCTTAAAATTATTCTTTTTGAAAGAACTCTGGCTTAAATATTTTGTAATTTTTTTCAGGTTTATAATAAAACACATGGTGAATTAAATTATCCATTAATTTTATATGTATATTGAGCCGAAACCGGTTTGGCTCAGTGGTAGAGAGTCGGTCTGCAGACTGAAAGGTCCCAGGTTCGATTCTGGTCAAGGGCATGTACCTTGGTTGCGGGCACATCCCCGATAGGGGGAATGCAAGAGGCAGCTGGTCGATGTTTCTCTCTCATCGATGTTTCTAGCTCTCTGTCTCTCTCCCTTCCTCTCTGTAAAATATCAATAAAACATATTTAAAAAAAATTTATATATATATATATATATATATTGAAAAGCATAGAAAGTTCAACTTTTATCAATAATAAAATTTACATATGTTAATTTATAGGTAATTTGTTATGACAGTCTTACTGATTTTAATGTATAAAATGCCATATCTTTAGAGATTATTAATGTTATAAATATATACATTTAATTAAAAGTTGTAATATTAATAGCCTGATTATCTTTTATTAAGAATTTCTATTTCATTCTTTTATTTTGTGATAAACTCTGGAGAATTAATTAAAATCTTTAATTATGACTTACATCATCACCACTAAATCTGTTTACAAAGTTTCCTGGATTGCAAATTAAAAAAAAGATGTGGGAGGTGTTTTCTGTGTTGATGGCTTAGAATAGGGTACATTCACATTCACTTTTTGTGTCTCTAATAATAAGATAAAAAGTATTTTAAGTATGACTTTAAGATTTCAGAGAATCAACTTAAGACTTTTAGTTTAAACAAGAATAATTTTTTCAAAAATGGCACAGGGTCAGCAAACTATAAGGAGCTGGATGGTAAATAGTTTAGATTTTGTCACATCGCCTCTGGCAACTGCTCAACTTTGTTTTTAGAGTAATAAAGAAAGCATAGGCTATGTAGATGAATAGGAATGGCTTTAATAAAACTTTATTTACAAAGCCATGTGTTAGACAAAATTTGTGCTGTAGGCCATAGTTTGCCAACTCTTGGCTTAAAGTGTTAGTAATCTAAATTTTGGATGGTCAAAATTTTACAAATGTTTATCAACATGGATTGATTAAGTTGCATCAAGTAGGAATGCATTTGGCTAAAAGTAACAATACCCAGTGGACACAGATAACAGGGCCAGAGGGTGAGGGCATGATTGGGAGGTTGGGGAGACAATGGGGAGATAAAGACACATATGTAATACCTCAGTCAATAAAGAAAAAGAAATATAAGTAACGATACCTAACCAACGGTAGCCTATATATTTAGGAATATATGGGGTTGGTAAAAGTAGGTTTACAGTTGCACTGTGACATTCTTTTGATCAAATAAAGCTGTTGTAATAATCATAACCTACATGTCTTTCCCATACTGGGAACTGTAAACCTACTTTTGCCCATCCTGTATATCTCTCAACAATGCTGAGACACACAAGTTCTTTTTGATCTTGCAGTCCCCTTGCTTAGTATTTGGGTTTTCATCTAGAACCTCATGGTTATAGACTTTCTGCTGCAGCTCCCTATTTTTAAGCTACAAAACTGAGGAAAGAAGGGTAGCACCACATATGCCTGTCCTCTTTTTATCATTGATTGAAAAGCTGCCCTGGAACCTCTCTTGCTCTTGCTCTTGCTCTTGCAGGCTGATTCCTCTTAGTCTTCTCAAGCCTGAAAAAAAGGTGACCTGCAGAACAATAGTGAAAACTGTTTAGTGTAAATTTTTCTATTCTTGTTGGCTTTCTAGGGAAAAAAAATTTCAAAGATAAAAGAAGCCACAAATATACTAAGGCAGTTTTATCTCAAACTCATTATCCTTTGAAAGAGAAAACGATTGTTTTTCCCTTAAGTATTACCTCATTCTCTTTTAAACTTTGACTGCTATAAATTTATGTGTAGTCTCAAATAATGGAAAACAAATTTTTCGTATGTTAGGAAGAGTGGAATTTTGCTTCATAAGAATTATATCATTATCTTTGTTATCCATGTCTATACCTCAGAGTTGAGTGGTAAATATTCCATTTTCTATTGAGAGAAGCTAAATTGAGTGGAGAGTGCATGACTTGACAGGAATCACCTGTGATATATTTCTGAGTGATGTCTCATTACCAGTTGAGCCTGTAGCTGTTTACATCTGAAGGTGTAGGTATTGTAAACCCTTTTTTAAGTTTGTTTCAGGAGGACTCATTTGAACACCTAGCACATTTTATACTTGTGAAAAAGGTGTGTTTTCTCATCTTCATTACACAGGTATTAATATTATATGTCAAATGGTCAGTAATTGCAAACTTTTTTTTTTTTTTTTTTTTAAACAAGACTGCTTCTATAGATTAAATTCAGGACTATTTAAAGTTTCATTTCTCAAGCATGCCTTTCTCTCTCTCCTCCTTCCACCTCGCCCCACTCCATGTATACGTGTGTGAAACCTTGTCTGTGATTTTTTAAAGCTTTTAACTTCTCTAGATGAGTTTTTTTCTCTTTAATAAAAAAGATTACCTAAATACCCCTCCCCCCAAATATATTAACGTAAATAAAATGTTAACTTATTTTGCAGTTGTGCAAAAACTTCACTTTTTGTTCTAAAGGTTTTTTAATGAGGTATATTGATTTTTCTGTGACTGTGACAGCATATGAAGCTGTCAGGTTTATCCTTTTACAGAAATTTCAGAAACTTTTATTTTGACTAAAGAATGAATGCATTCTGGTCAACCAGGTTTCGTTTATCTGATTAAGGGAAGTTTGCATGGATTCAAGGCCTAAGAAACAGAATAGTCTCCTTACCAAATTTTGTGAGTGTTTTTCCCCATAAAATTCTAACTTTAGTTTCTTCTCCCCACAGTTGGATATATAAAAATTGTTTTTATAAAGCATCTGAAATCTTGAAGCTGCTAATGTATCACATACTTTTTTCCATTTTATCAATACTTGGTAAACTAAACCTGTGGGTCAAGTCCAGAAAGAAAGAAAGAAAGAAAATTTCAGTGCCACAGATACTTGCCCATTCTGACTACAATGATAGAAGTGAGAAGTTGCCACAGAGACTGCATAACTTACTGACTCCTGCAGTATTGATATAATCTACGGCAATTTTGATTTTCTTTTCTATTTCTGCCAGTAATGCTTTATAATTAGTGACCAATGTGATCCTAAGGCAAGCATGTCAAACTTGCGGCCTGCGGGCAGCATGCAGCCCACAACAAATATTTTTGTGGCCCAGCCATTATAATGGTATGTAAGAAACATTTTAATAAAAAATGTTGTAACTGAATTTTTACAATATCCTGTTATACATAATCTATACATATAAAAACCTAAGCGACCTGCTGACTGTGTGACCTTCTGACCGTCAGACCATCTGATCAGTAGCTATGATGTACTCCGACCACAAGGAGTCAGATGCTCAGTGCAGAAGCTGCTGAGCTGCTGTGACTTGGCAACTGTAGTTCTAGGGTGATGCAACCGAAACCAGAGAAGAGGAAGCTGGATTCCAGGGCACGTCACCCAAGAATTACCCTCTCCCAATCCTGGGGATGTCACAGAGCTGGTTTTAGCCTGATACCCACAGGCCAGACCAAGGGACTCCATCAGTGCATGGAGCCTCTAGTTATTAATAACAAACTACAACATTTACTAATGACTGATTACTGTAATTGTATTGCATTCATTTTCCTTATGCACCTTACGCACAGGCATGCCATTTCTCTCTGCTAATACTAGCAGTGAATATTTTAGCAGCCAATTGCCACATCATTAGTCTTGGACTGACTTGTTTGGTATGTGCAACAAGAAATATTTTGCTTTTGGAGAATAAGAAAAATAGGTTTATTTGTGTTATGCTCATTAATTTGTGCAGTTATTCAGTCTTTGGTAAGTTAATGTTCAGGAAAAAATATTAATTTTTATTAAAATTTTCTATTATTTTATGTTAAGGATTGCTCAGTTTTTTTCAGCCCTTTGTATTCAGCATTTCTCTATAGAAATAAACCTATATTTCTATGAAAATTGAAGCTTTTGCTTTTTTTTTGCAGCCCACATAAACTTAAACCTTGTTTATTTGGCCCATGTTAGCCTTTGGGTTTGACATGCTTATTCTAAGAGCAATAAAAGTTAATGACAAGTAGTCAATGATTGAGAGCCAAAACCCCCTAGATCCCCAATTCTTATCTTATGTCAGTATTCTGATATATATGATAATTTTTAAAGTACAGTAAAGTTAAACTCTTTTGTAGGTTTTTTTTTTAACACAAGATATGTTCAAAAACTAATGTCTTTGGGGGTCATCTTGTCTAGTGCTTCCCTACATAGTTCCTGGACCCGATGATGCATTCTAATACTAATGATTAAGTACAGACCCCTGACTTCTACAGTATTTCTGTCTTTACTAGTTGGGATCAGAGTAGCCACATTTTAAAAAAGTACCCTAGCCATTTCTGATAACCTGCCTGCTCTTAAAATTGCTAATTCAAATCATATTTTATGTACACTAGTGGCCTGGTGCATGAAATTCATGCAAATTAAAATGGAAATTAATTAGAAGAAATAATTTAATATTGCTATTTGCCCTTTCTTTATAATAGAAGTGTCAGGGATGAAAGAAAAATAGTAAAATGTATATGAAAATCTTCTTCCTATCAGAGTCTGAGACACA